GAGGAATGAACGAGGATACGTGATTGATACGGTGGACGCACCTGAGCAGAACAACCAACAACCATAAAGGCGGTGACAAGTGTCACCACCAGATTAGTAATTAAACCAAATTATATTTATTCAAAACATAATATTAGTGACAAATTAATCATAAGAGATTTATTTCTCTCTCTCTCTCTCTCTCTCTCTCTCTCTCTCTCTCTCTCTCTCTCTCTCTCTTCATACGTAATTCTCTTCATCTAGGGTGTGCATGGTTACCAAATTTTAAGAACCAATCCATTTTAATGGTTCTAGTTTTAAAATTAAACCATTTTTTATAATAACCAATTTAAAATTGCAAAATGGTTTCAATTTGGTTCAAAACCGGTTTAAACCGGTTTTCAATCAAAATTGATTTATAAGGAAATTGTATCTTTCTTAATTTGAAGAGACGAAAAAAATTCAGGTTAATGAAGGGAATAAGATGTAAATGCATGTGTCATTTTTATACTATTATATTCAAACATCAGCACAAATCGTTTTTCACAATTTTTTTGAAAAGCAAAAAAGTAAAATTCAATTTAAGAGTAAAAACATTACACTTTAATCTATGATAAAGTTGCACGAGAACACTAAAACTAGAACCCCAAAAAACTAAAACAAAACATCCTAAAACCAAGACAAAATCTACTTCAAAACAATTGCTATACTATAACAGTTAAACAAAAAAACACAGATTAACAATCGTTCATCACAATTAACTTAATAAGTTCTTCTTCCCTTAACTAATCACCACTCTAACTAACTAATTAATAATAAATAAAATAAAATATATAAACTAGTTTTCCATTTTCAATTAGAATATTATATAAATTGGTTTACACGAATTTGAATTTCATGTGCCTTAATAATATCTTATTCATTAATAATAATATCATATACATTTGGTTTTATGTATGACAACTGGTTATCAAAAATAGAAACCAGATTTTTGTTTTGATATCAAAATGGATCTGGAGTGGTTCACATCCAACACAAATTGGATAATAAAAATTGGTGCACTGAATTTTTAAAATTGGTTCGTGTAAACCAGTTTTTTTGCACACCCCTATCTTCATCTTTCTCTCTTCATAGAGCTCGCCTGAGAGGACGCTTTCGCCGCGCTGGAAATCGCCTCACGGCGGCGAGCGGAGAACTTGCTCCGATCATTAATCTTTTCACATATTTCTCTTCGTCTCTCTTCTCTAATCACTAATGTGATGCTCTTTTCTGCAGATGACCAATGATTTCGCCTAGATCTTGAAAGGGATGATCAAAACCCTAGCGCTCTGATTTGTGAAAATCGGCGATGATGATGTGCATTTGATGATGAAAATGCTACTTCTGAGTTTACCTTGGTGAGATCTCTCTGATATCTTCTTCTATGTTTCACGATTTGTTTCTTTTCTTCTTCTTTTCTTAAATCTAAAGGGTTTATGTTAGATAAAATGATGAGTAGGATAAGGTTTGTATGCTTGATAGCTCTGTGATATGAAATCTCTGTTTACTTTTTCGATTTCTGAAAGGTTTATGGGAGGAAGATAATGAAAATCTTTTTTAGGGTTTTCTATTCTTGCGCAGCTTTCTGGTTTTTGAACAGTGAATTTTTGCGGAGACTTTTTCTGTGGTTCTTCCAGAACGTGAAGAATGAGATATTAACCGTGTGAAATTTTGTTATATAGCTTTGTCATTTTTGAAAAGCGGTTAGGGGTTGATTTGATATTAGTTGTTCATTGTGAGAGTTTGTTATATCAATGGATGGTGAGGATTGCATCTATTCTAGCTTGCTTGAGAAGTTTTCCTGAGCTGGAATTGAATTTTTTGAATCTGTTACTTGACAGGCTTGGAACGAAATCTATATTGGGCCCCTTTTCTGATATCTTTTATTTGCTTGCAAAGGACTGGTTTTCTTGTTTGGGCTGGACTGTTGCGATTTTTTATTAATTCTATACTACTTTTACTTGCTAAATCGTGATGTTATTTTTGTGAAACTTGTGTAGTAACATTTTTCTTTTGAGTCCTTTATTGTGAACCAAGATTGGCTTTTCTTGTGATTTGTAGTAGAGGGAATTTGGCCCATGATTAAACTTTACAATTCTGAGTTTGTTATGAAACAAATGTATGAGGCCTTGATGTTGCTTGAATATGATTGAAAAACTACCCTTAAATTCTGATTCCTTCACAAACCCTTACGATGTGATTTAGAAGAAAACTTCTTTGAAATACTTTGTTCTTGTTCAAGTTTTGATTTCTCAATCACTAACATTTCACTTTTTTTTTCTTGTTTCAAGATGTTGAGTTGATGAATGGAGATGGCAAGGCATAAACCGTGGCACGACTTGGAGTTTTGAAGGAATTGCAAATATTTAAGTTCAAGAGGCTTTGATTTAACTTGGATTTAGGGACATTGTAGAATGGTGTATTCCTTAGAACAAACTCATGTGTAACCTTTATTAAAAACTTTTGTAAACTTAGAATTTTGGTGAAATTGAACTTTGGACATCTTAGATGAAACTGTAATTTGACTTGTAAGGGTTGAAAATATGAATTCTTCTTGTATTCTTCGAAATTGAGAACCAAAGTTATGAGAATTTTGAGTATTCCTTGTAATTCGAGATTAAGAATGTCATAGAATTTGGATACCCTTGTGATTGCATTAATAATGAGTCTTGAAAGTTAATTTTATGAAAAGTTGAATTCTTTCTTTGTAATAGAGTTTGGCATCAAGAATTTATACTCATGCTAATATTAAATTTGTCTCCATGTAGAACCTTAATTTTGAATGAATTTTGAAAGAAATCAATATGAGGTAGTGAACTTGAAACACTTGAAATTCTTGGATAAAAACCATGAAGCTTGTAATTCTCGAGTGCAACTTGTAATGATTTGAATTTGATTCTGTGTCAAAGAGAAGTCACCATGACAATGTGACTTAACATAGGCATACTAATCAATATTCTTTCTTGTATCCTTGATAGGAAAAAGTTGAACCAAGCAAACTTGCCCTACAACAAATCTCAAATAAAACCTCTTAATCCTGACTTAACCAAACTTGCATAACAAGAATTACTCTTACAAAAAGAATCATGAGCTTTTCCCATATACCATGAGCATTCTGTGAAAACATTGGTGAACCCAAGCACAACAATATAGAACCATGAGCTTCTCGAGGTATATATTGATTGAAGAGGTAGCTTAACCTCAAAGATCTAGTTCGCCATCCTCTTAGTTGGAAACAATGATGAAACTTGTAAGCTATTGATCAAGGCAGAACTTTGGAGTTTGATGAAATAAGGGGTCTTCATAATGATTTTGAACTCAAACTCTAATTACACAAACCATGATCCAAGAAGGAACCAGGTACACCTCCCTTAACAAAAATGAGGTCCTCAACTCCCTTAGAAACCCTAATTCCAATTGAAAAAGGGATATGAGATAAATGGTTAACTTCCAACCTCAAGTACACTTTAATCATCTGATGAAACAGTGAACACTTTGAGAAGTCTTGAGGCCAGAGAAGCCTTGGTAGCCTAAACCAATAGAAGAAAAAGGATACTAAATTCATTTTGGATTGATTGTCGACACAAGCAAATTCCATTGCTTACAGAGATCTATGAGAGACAAAATATCCTTGACCCCATCATAATGTATGAAATACATATTGTGAAACATAAGCCAATAAAAAGTAGAAATGGAGAGAGCGGATTTTGGGGTGCAACACCTATATATAATCAAGCCAATTCAATTTGAAGTATAAAAATCAGCACATACCTACAATTATACAAAGTGTCACATACCTAAACCAAACCAAATTATCACACTCATAACACATACACTACACTCATGACTGAATTGACCACATACAGCCTTATACGCTTCAGGTTTTCAGTCGAGTTAAGCTGAGTTTACCTAAATACCAAAGCATAAAAAGATTTCACTCATTTTTCACTATGAACTGTATCAAGAAAAATACCAGTACATTCACTTCAAACTGAATATATAAACAAAACTCAGAACAGGTCCACTTCATGTCATGACCAAATTTAAGTGTTCATACCAGCCACCAACCAAATTTAAGTGTTCATACCAGCCATCAATTTTCAGACGTGCACTCATCAATAACCAAAAACCAGAAAAATAAGAGATCAATCGATGGCAAGGTTGCACATAATCATAAAGTCGTAAATCAAAATTTCCTTATCGCTCTAACTAAAACTAACTTCCAACAGTCCATAACTAATTTTCAGCTCAAGCTAACCCTATTTTACCAAATAATTCCAATTAACAGTTTCATAATTAACATTTCAAGTTTGCTAACCAATCTCCTAACAACCTAGTACTAACCAAATCACCAAATAACACTGTTATATAACTAACTCTAACAGTTTTTAATTCCACAAATTAAACTAAACATTATAATAGAAAAAACCAATAACAACTAACATCTAACTCTAACTGAATCTCTCAAGCCAACTCATCCACTAATAGGTCATAACAGAATATAACAAACTCTCCAATAGCTTCCCAAACTCCCATCCAACTCTCATAACTGAATTCTGAAATTCAATGGGTCAGATGTATTTGCCTCTAACAAAGTCCAACATCATATAACAAAATTTCACACGCACAAGTAGGAGATCTGCCCTCTCTATCAACTTTCACCATCTTTTCACCCTTATCCTCCTCTGAACCTCCACCTCCAATCCATTATCACACACCTTCAATCGTAACCTCCTTCATTCTCCAGAAAACTCACCATTGAATCGTGATTCTTCAATTTCTGAAGAATCACCACCAAAAAAATATCTGAAAATTCTCTCTTTCTCTCTCTCTTCTTTAATCTGCAACATTCTTCACCAATTCTCGCTGCTTCCTCTTACACACATTCTTCATCATCTTCAACCTTCTAGACCATTTTTACCTCAAACCTCTGTTCAACTTCTGTTTGACGTTGCAACTTCCGCTCCTCCATGAATCAACATTCATGGCCTCCTCTGCATCAATCTCCATAATCTAGGATTCAATGCTCCCTGCTTCATCTTTTCTGAACAACAATTGCTTCAATCAGTAACAAATTGGTCTTTCATTGTTGCACAACCAATTTGCCAACAACAACTCAAAATAACATAGAAAGAACAACAAATAAGAGGAAGAAGGAATAAGAGTAGCGAAGGAAAAGCGTGAATATCTGGAGTAATATGAAGCGCATACCTGAAGTCTCCGAACTTTGTTGATCATCACCATCCTCGAATTCTATTCCAACAGTGTTGGTAATATTAGAGATCCTTCAATCTTCTCTTCTTCGTGTTCGAAGCGGCTAGTCACACCTTATAGCTCGCGAAGGAGAACCTTGTTGGTTGCCTCTGATTATCTTGCATCATCACCGCGAAATTTGAGATTTCGACCCAAGATTTGGTGAAAATTAGCATCATAACTGGGTTTAGGGATCGAAATAGGGCTAGGTTGGTGTTTATATGTCGGAGATTGGGGAAGTTTCAACGTCGATCGGAGGCTGGGAGACACAAGTATGGAAGCGGTAGAGAGAAAGAGAAGGATGAGAGTGAGGATTCAATTCTCAAGAGAAGACTAAGAGTCACTCTCTCAACCTAATGTAAAACTGCATCGTTTTACATTTTTCTTATTAATTCATTATTTTATTTTATTATTCTTTCTTTCCTCTAAATTGTTGTTAATAATAACCATAATGATGCTGGAAATATGAAATTAGTGATGATTGTAGTGGGCTAGACCGAGTCACTCCACCCTTAGGCCCATCACTATATTTTTTGAAAGCTGGAACTTGATTTGACAAAAAAATTTCTTCATGGACTAATCATGTTGGGCCTAGCGCCTGAATTGTTATTTGTACCACTAGATTCCAATCCACATACCGCCCCTCTGTTTAGAGTTTGTTTATGTTTTTCTCTAATCTTATTTTCTCAATTTCTAGATAATAATATTAGGAATAAAAATTGATGATAAAAATTGCAAAAACCAATAAAAACTTGTTAGATCTTCTTAGTTGATTTTAGGAATTAATTCTTTAGTTTTTGATAGAATTTTCCTCATATAAAAAAACTAATATTTTAGTGCATTTTTTACACTTCTTAGTGCATAATTTTAATGTCATGATTATCATTTGATATATGCTTGCTTGTTGAATTTAATTTTTTAATTGTCATATTAATTCTCACATGGTTTTCATACCGTTTTTCCTTGTTGTTTTTTACGCGTTTGTTCATTGTGCAAGGTAAATTTTTGTGCTTTTGATCATGTAACATAATGATTTAAGTGATCGAAGCATACGGCTTATGCCCGCTTCCGATGCGACACACCTTATTCCACATTTTCATGAGAAATTCATATTATATTATATGTAGTCCAGATGCATGTGATATTTTGTGATACTTTATGCAGGAACTTCTTATTACGCGGTGCATTCGGAACACACATGTGTTTTTATCTTAGTTGGATATCATTTCTGACTATGTTTATTTCTTGGTGAAGCTTGAGAATCAGATGGAAGATGCTTTAGCCATCTTGGCTTTCACGTACTAAGTAAATGCTTGGAACGGTGTACCTCAAATTACAGTTTGACGTCTTGATAGACCAACTCATGTGTTTGCTACAGAAGGAACGTTAGATGAAAAACCTTGGTATTATGATATCAAGCACTTTCTTCAGATTCAGGAATACCCACTTGGTGTGTCCAACAAATATAGAAAGACATTGAGAAGATTGGCAGGTAGCTTTTTCCTCAATGAAGATGTGTTATACAAGATAAATTATGACATGGTCTTACTCAGATGCGTGGATAGACACGAAGCATACATGTTGATGCATGAGGTCCATGAAGGTTCCTTTGGTACCCATGCCAATGGGCATTCAATGGCAAAGAAGATGATTAGGGCAGGTTACTATTGGCTGACAATGGAGTTTGACTGTTACAAATTTGTGAAGAAGTGTCATAAGTGTATGGTTTATGCTGAAAAGATTAATGTGTCTCTGTTGTACCCCAAATTTTTCCCTCCCGTTTCTTTATGACATTCTCCTGGGGTTCTCAAATTATTAAGGTTGCTCAAGAATTGATCAGACAAATTCTCCTCCTAAGCAATGGACTTACAACTAGGGTTTCGATTTTCTTAAGGAAGTTTAGGTTTCTAAGGTCTCAAGTGGTTTCCATGGTTCCTTATATGTCTCCAAGAATTCTCATACCATGTTTCATACTTTGCATCACAAGTTTGCTCAATCAATAGCTCAGATGACTGAAATCAACTGTATTGGAAAAAAAGATCAATTATGGTCAACATACAGTCGAACTTCAAGATTTTGGTCAACATCAATATTTTGAAGTAATATTCACAATTTCATCAAGGGTTGATCATGATTCATCAAGGAAAACTCTCAAATCATCAAAAGTCAAAAGTTGCCAAATTAGGGTTTTCTTTAGGAGAAGTCAACTAAACTTTTACCAAGCATAACTTTCACATGCTTCATCATATTTTCCTCAACCAAAGCTCATTCTGAAGGAAATTAAATTCTCTACAACTTTTCTCTCTTAGCTCAAGTCCAAAAAATGCTTCATTTGAGAGATATGGGCTAATACATTATAGGTCATTTCAAAAGTCAACAAAAAGACACTTTTTGTCAAGGCAACTTACATCAAGATAAATCTCCAAATGCAAAAATGATCAAAATAGTGATTGTAGAGGACATCTTGAGCTTTACAAAAATCCCAAGATCACCTTTAAATGATTAAATTGGGAGAGTTATGACCATTGTAAGTTGGGAAATTTTGAGAAAATGCATGAAACCAAAAGTGTTAAAATTGAAATTTTGGGATATTAGGCTATTACTTCAAAGTCCATACGTGTTCTACACTTCATATACACCTCAAGACTTGTTCATACACCTCCCTTTGGTTTATTATATTTATTTTTTATTTTTATTATTTTAAAAGTCAAAATAAAATAAAATAAGGAAAGGCTTTTTCATACAAGTCCAAGCCCAACATATGTTGACCTAATGCTCTTCTATATATTCTCTTCATTCATACAAACCCTGACCATGAAACCTTGTGCTAGAAACCACTTCCAAAAAATCACAAAATTATCAAACTAGGGCAACTTGAAACCCTAGCTTGCAGCCATTTCCAAGGCATTCAAACTTGCTCATTCACTTTCAGCAACCCTACAGAGTAAGAAAGGATCAAACACAATGATCCCAAACCCCCAGAACCTAAACGCATACATGGTCGTTTCATACTTTTTTACAAAACTCATATTTTTGTTTTCTTCATGTTTCATTGCAAACTAATTATATTAATATGTTTCTGAGGTATGTTAGTGCAGGAAAAGTAGATCGCGCAACCTCAATGCTATCAGAATCACGAGTTGTCATGCATGTACTGATCCATGTTGTTTTGGTCATACCTTACAAACCACTGTGCTTTAGTAAAATATAATGATTCCATTGAATCCGCAAGCCTCGATTTATGGGGTACTGTATTCTTGGATCTCTAATGCTTATTATTGTGCAGGTTTAAAGAAAAGGAGCCACTGGAGAAGACAACCGGAGGTAGGGCTCCGACGCTTCTCCGGTCCATGCGTTTTTTTAATATTTGTTTAAATCGTTTCAGTTTAAATAACAGATGTATAGACACCCCAATGGCAAGCGAGCACGCGTTAAGGCATACCTATACCACGACATGGGTTAGATCTCGACGCTTCGTAATGTTATTTTCATATTTTCTCTCTTCTGCATATCTAGTGTAGCACGCATCACGCATCAACCATGTGCCTCCTCAACCATCACCATCAGATCTATATAGATCTGATCCAACAATCCGAAGTCCACAAGCGCACGCTGCACCCCCTATGGATGAATGCATTGGATCTCCAAGGCTTCTCCTTATTGGGCCTAACGGATTTCAACTTGCACACCCCTCTGTTTGCTGATTCTGGCCCATTTTCCTTTTCTTATATTTTCTTTATTTTCTTTTACTTTTCTATTTAGTTAATTAAAACACCAAAAATATTATTTTTAGGTTAAATTAATTAGGGTTAGTTTTAATCATTTTTTCAATTAGTTAATTAATTATTTTCTTAATTAAAATTAAGTAGATTTTTAGGGTTTTTTAATTTAATTAATTGAATTTTTTCACTTAAATTAATTAGTTTCTTAGGGTTTTTTATTTATAAATTCATCATAAACCATTTTCCATAAAAAATACAAAAAAAAATCTTTTCTTTTCTTTTTCATATTTTCAGATCACCTGTTACTTTCGCGAACATTTATTATTCTCGCATTTTTTATTATATAAGTGTTTCCCGGTTTGTAATAGTAATTAGGGTTTACTTTCCGCAATTTATTACTTATGTATCTCTCCCAAAGTGATGTAATAGGTTTCGGTTTACTTTCCATTTTTACTTTCTGCACATTTACTGCTTTACTATCTTACTATTATTGTTAGTAATTAGGTCATGTATGGAAAGATTAAAAACAAATGATAGCTAACGCTAATCAAAGATAAAAATAACTTAATCATAAACCACTTGCACACTCACACCTCTAGGGTAACATCCCTTGTTGCCTTTCAATAAACATTCATGTCCCTAGAAAGTGGGGACGCTTTAACACATTCCCTCGAAAACAAAGATCGTAGTCCCTCGATGACCATTTCGATGTTGCCTTTGGTAAACGATCTAGTCCCTTAATTATAGTTGCTAAAGCATCCTTACCAGTTGCCTTTGATGAGTGTACAATGACCCACGCATGTCCCTTCACATCCAACGATAGGGCTTCCTACTAACTAATGGTAGTATAGCACTATCTAAAGGAGGAGGAAATTACAAGAGAGACCTTGAGTAGGTAGACCGCTGTTAATCGCTTGCTCACTGTTGTACCCCAAAATTTTCCCTCCCACTTTCACTCAAGGCATGCCTCTAGAGGTCCTCAATTGCTCAAGGATGACTAAGTATTAACTAGACAAATTCTCCTCCAAAGGCAACAAACCTCAACTAGGGTTTCAATTTTAAGCAAGATGTGTGAGTCCCAAGGATCCCAAATGTTCTCCATTGTCTTAATATGTCCTCAAAATCATACATGTCAAATTTCATGCCTTGAACAATAAGTTTTCTCAGTCAACTGCTCAAATGCCTAGAAATCAACTATACTAGGTCAAAAGTCAACTGTGGCCCAAATACAGTCAAACTTCAAGATTTTTGGTCAACATCAACATTTTTAAGTAATATCGATCATTTGATCAAGGGTTGGTCATGATTCCTCAAGAAATGCTCCTAACTCATCAAAAGTCAAAAATGGCAAATTAGGGTTTCTATAGGAAAAGTCAACCAAACTTTGACCAGGCATAACTTTCTCATACTTTATCATAAATTTTTCCTAAAAGGCTCATTTTTAAGAGAATCCAATT